ATGATGTCAAATTACAGTGGTACCTCTACTTGCGAACGTCTCTTCATACAAAATTTTGAAGTTACAAAACATCTCAACAGGAAAATATCGCCTTTTGTTATGAAAGAAATTTCAAGATACGAAAGGTAAAAATACAGTATGGCCTGCTAATCGCAGCTCTGAGTTTCTTGAACGCAACATACTTATAGCTGCTCTGCCATTGGCTATCACCGAGCATCATCCTGGCATCCCGTATGTGTCTATGTGTGTCGATAGATAGATCTGCGTCTATGCTGCATCCTTGTCATTCGCCCCTCAGGCGTTTCGTTAGTTTTCCGTAAATGTGAATCACATTGAAAAAGTGTTCACCAGTCGGGCGATCGCCCACTATGCTGATGTTTGTCTTGGACATTTTCGAAGGATTGTTAAAAGCCGACAAAAGCAAACGCCCTCGGATCGGTTCTTTAGAAATCGCCAGGCCAAAATAACTTCTGAGAGAGAACCTGAACTAAAGAGGGCAAAAAACAACGAGGACGCAGTTAAAAGTTAAATGACCATCATTTTTAGTCATTACTCAATTCTTTGTTTTTTACATTATGCACAACTCTCATTTATTGTGCAATAATCTAAATGTAATGTAATTTTTTACATATTTTGATGCATTTTTATGCTTTCGGAAACATTCATGTCTGAATTTTGGGGGGCTTGGAACGGATTAGGGCATTTAAATGGAAAACGCGTCTCTACTTCCAAAATGTTCTAGTTGAGAAATTTCTTCCAGAACCAATTAATTTTATTCGTAGAGGTACCACTGTACAGGCATATCTCATGTTCTAAACATACAATTGATTCAAACGCTCATGCGAATCTACCAGGAGCCTTCATAATTCTGCAAAAGGTTGCCAAGGATATGAACACATTTTAAAACGTAACAAATCATCAATGGAAAAAAAACAATATCTGACAAACTTTTTTTCCTGATGTCCCCCCCCCCCCCCAAAAATTAAAAAATAAATAGAATAAAATACTGGGTCAACAAATACAAGTTGACTCTTGGACTGGGTTTGGGTAATATTGGTTTAACTGCAGATGGCAAGGCCAAACAAGACTTTGCAAGGATGTGCAAACATGTGTATCGTGTTTGCAGGCGTGTACTTGTTGAGATGTACCTGCATGCAGTGGTAATGAGTACTTTTGCCATTGAGGTGGCAGCCGTGGTAGTAGACGCTGCAGTCATCCAGGGGGCTGAAACGCATGAAACCGTGCTGCAGGGAATTATCCCTCTTCTTGTGCATGTTGTAGTGCCTGATCACATCCTGCTTACTGGTAAACCTCTGCAATGGAACGAGGAGGGGGGTGCGGGTAGGGGGGTGGGGTGGGTTTGTAAAGCAACAGGTTAGTGTTTATTTACACCAGGCACAGAATCAGCAACATGTCACTTTATCTCGGCGGAAACAGCAGCTGCAGCACGAAGTGGCCACTTGGCATTTGAGGGATGGGGCCTGGGTGGTGGGGAGGGGGAAGGACACCTCAAATGACGTTTTTTTTTTCCTCTACGTGTGTCTTCTCCAAATACAGGAAAGCCAACTCAATTAAATGCACAATCACTAGATTCGTGTGGACATCATACATTTTTAACTTTGATTAATTTTTTTTTTTTTTTAAATGGCAGTCGGGCCTCATTCACCTGTACTTTTCATAACTTATTATTGAGGTCTTATCTTAGCAATAACTGCATTTTGTGCCATACAGAACAGATTAAGCCATAGCAAGGACTTAAAAAAAAACGCTTAATTAAAAACGATTCAACTGATGATTCTGACTTTATTATATTTCTTGTACAGTTAAAAAAAAAAAGAAGACACATGAACAAGCCCAGCCACCAAAAAGGATTTTTTTCCCTTTCAATTTGCAGAGATAAGGTTTCAACGTTCAATTGCTGAAAGTGGAATTTCAATTTATGAACACTTGCTTTTGCTGTCGTTTACGATGAGTGCACGCGCTAAGAGACCTCACATCTAAAATGACTAAATAAATAATCCCTCCCACATGCAGCAGTTAGAGAGCAGAAAGTTCCCCCCTCAGACCCCCGCCGCAACCAAATCTGCTGTAATTGGCCTTAAGCTGATGTAACAGAAACTGTAACGAGAGACGTGCAAATCAATGAGACACTTCTGTCTTCAATCCATATTCATCTCCAGTTGAGGGGAAAAACATCAGAAAGAAGTGTTTTGAAAAGCAACTAATTGCTCTACAAAAGTAGACTAATTGCTTTGTGTTGTGTGTTCCACTCAAGCACAAAATACATTTTTAAAAAAAAGCGCCTCTCAGTCACTCTTGGCCCATTTCCACCTTTTTTTTTGACTGAAAATGCAAAGACTTCATTAGGATTCTTAATATTCATTCAGCTCTTTTACAATTTTCCTGGGGGAAGGAGGCTGGTGGGGGGGAGGGGCTCGCACGTCTTAGCGTCAGTCCGATGTGGACCGGAAGATGAGTGGAAAAGAAGTCTCGGTACATTCGATCCATCAAGGCGTCCAAAATAGGCCACGGAGAGAGCTGACTGGGAAAAAAGATCTCATTTTCAGTCGAGTGGTGATGAAGGTTGGGAGCCACTTGCTACAATTTATTTTCGGATTCCCACTAGTGTGGCAAGATGCACGCACCGTCCCTCATGTACAAGCCCATGAAAGGAGAATGTCAAGACTCAGCCAATCGGCCAGAGGCTGGCAGTGGGATAATATTCCAGGAGTATGTGTCATGTAACATTTCAAGAGTTATCACTTTGAAAGGGACTGCACATCATGTGCTTTTTTTTTTTCTTTCCTTTTCAGGGAATTGACACCCACAGTGCCTCGCAGAAAATATTTGCGCGGGAGCAACGGAGGAACGCGGGGCCCAAGCATGGAAATTGCCGTGATAACCCGAACTAACACTCTAAATGATGACATGAAATGATTTTCCTTTGTGTTTCTCCCAGAGTGCATCTCATCAAACCGTGACGCCGGAACCTGAAAACTTGGGCATTTCACGCTTTCCACCTCTTAACCAATATTTACAGTGAGCTAATCTTTTCCGAACAGCGGCCAAACCGTCAGAAAAGACAGTGGAGATGCATGGACATTCTTGACAAATCAACAAAGTCGAAGTGATTTCCGGACCAAGGAAAAAAAAATGCAAGAAATGGGATTGGAGAAAGAGGTGGCATACTGTTAAATGATGAATATTGCTAAATAAATAACATATTTAAACCACGGAACAGCAATAGCCAGAGGACGCTTGCAAACGAAAACAATGTTGTGTTTGGAAAACCACAGGCTAACAAACTATTTATTAGTTAAAATGTGTCAGGATGTTATGAATAATGAAGAGGTGACACATCACATTGTTTGTCGAGCCACATCTCCATTTTCTTCGCATGACAAAACAGCATTTTTATAGAAACGGCAATTTGATTCGAGAGTTACGCTCAGTTCTTGAAACTCCGAAAATGTTGCGCCGTTATTTCTGTCAGGTGAGAGAGCAGTATTGTTTCCGTGTTCGGCAGACAGTAAACGTGTCATTGAGTGCTGTTCAAAAAGTGATAAATTACTCACGCTCACCTGGTAGTTACACTCAGGGTCCATGCAGTGGTAGTGCTCCCTGTACTGGTAGGCACAGTGCACATGGCCACAATGTTGACTTCCAGAAAACCTGAAATATAAACAAGACAAGCATGAAAAAAAATTGGGAACAGAGAAAAAAAGAGTGGTGAGTCTTTTTCAAGACTTATACCAACAATCCAGGAATTCAGTAGGAATTTTGAATAAAACTCATTCATTATATTGTGGTGTATGCATACACAATTTCGGCCCGCATGTTTGGGGCCGTGTTGCGCCTGTTTGGATGTTCCAGCGCACTGAGTTGCCTCGCCCCTGACTCATCTGACAATTTGGTAACAGATTGTAGTATGCATTCGGCATAAAAACGGGTGCATTGTCATTTACGTGCCGGGGCAATTGTCTTTAGTTCAGCTTGTTTGTGAATTTTGCCTCGCCCCGGCGCATCTGCAAATTTGGTTACAAAAATTACACGAGATTTTGGACTCGCAAAAACCAAGTCTAACTTGTAGCGCGGGTGGTCTGGAGCGATTTTGATTAAGGTGCAGGCAGAAAATTTGGGGGCTCCGCGTATATATATGGTGGACATCACAATATTTCATTTGCAAATATAACACCAGCATGGGACAATCTCAAATCACTGTAGCAGTCAATTCACTGTGCTGTATTTCATGACAATCGTGAACATATTAAAAATATTTTGACAGAACACCCAACAGAATTTAGTATTCCCCATTTTCCATTTTGGGGTTGAAATTGAATTGTGATATATGACACACTGAACATTATCCTTGAAGAGAAATGTAATTGTCTCCGCTTGGGTATCTCCAGTAAAGTTCAATAATGATGCATTCCGACACTAAATTATAAGGCAAATAAAAAAATAATGAGAATCATGAAAAGAGCAAAAATAATTATGTTGTGCGGGGGGGCCACAGAGTTGAAAATGATTATTTTCTACTGAGATGATTGTGCATTACAGTAAATTCAATTGTATCACATTTTCAAAGTTGTGGTTTGTCTTAAAACAAAGGCCACAGTGAAAATACTCACATGTGACGTGGGGTTTGTTGGCAGATTAATTTTATGTGCAATTTGCCTAGCCAAAATCCACAAAAAGAAGACCAAAAGAAGACTTATATCACTATGTGGAAAATAAAGTGTAATGTGTACCGTATGCAAAATTCAAGTCGACTTGTCGTGGCGATGGAGCTTGCGCCGAGCCATTGAGTTGAACAAAGGCTCGACCAACAGACCGTGAGATGTGCGATGTTTGCTTCCTGATTCCAACAGCTAGGTGAGTTGCTTTAAAGCAGAATGTCATCGTACGAGGAGGAATGCCAACGTGCATTTTCAAACCTAAATGGTGTGCTTTTAGCGAAACCTGGGCCAAGACCTCTGCACTTGGACCCCTTACATGATTTGTAATGTTATTTTTGTTGCATGATTGACCCCCCTGTCCCAACGCCCTCCCCTGTCCCACCTCCCCTCAGGAGGCTCAGGAAGGGTCTTCTATTTAGGACAGCTGTGTGACAATAAAGGCTATCAAAGAGCCTGTCAACAGTGAAAGCAGGCGCAATAAAACAGGTGAGCGACTTTTCAAAGGCATGACGCTCAACTCACCTTCAAAGTAGCGCCGCTCACAGCCCCGCTCCGTACACCGCTGCGACAATTTACCAGGCTGTCACACCAATTCCAGCCAAATTATCTCCATTTATTGCCAACGCAGCCGCAAGACACACTTATTACGCACACCGAAGCCCCCCTGATGCTTTATGCCTCGACGCTGTGAAAATCCTTGTCAAATCAATGTCATTATCGTATTATTTTGGAGGAAAGCCTCTTATATTACGAGAAGTAGAAACATCATGCTGCTTTTTTTTTTTTTTTTTAAACGACAAACCTTTCCCTTCATCATCCTCTTGTGTAGTGCGGTGCTGGATAGGGAAAGGCTGCCGCTGCCTGCTACAGTACAGCAACTTTATGGCACTGATTATAAGCCAGACGATGATGACTGTTAAAATCCTCCAATTACCAGTGAAAACACACAAATAAACATTGCACCGCTGCTGCCAAGAACTCCATCTGCTAGTGCAAGAGGAGAGGAGGGAGTGTGTGTGTGTGTGTGTGTGTGTGTGTGTGTGTGTGTGTGTGTGTGTGTGTGTGTTTGGGGGGGAATGACGGCGACTAAGTAATATTTTTTTTCCCCCATCTTGCTTTCTGTTTTTTCCTTGTTCAGATTATCCCAGAGCTGCATTTACAGATCACTTTGCAGAGTTCATTAAGCTAATTGAACGCCATACCCACTACTCTTTTTCTCCCCCGCCCCCCCTTTTTTTTTTAAGTTGGATGCATGCGTGTGAAAGTGGATTTGCGCCTGGAAGACGGCAGAAGTAAATCGAGGAGGGGGTTTAAAAAGCAATAAAGCCAACACATGTCTCAAACATTTGTGTGCTTTCTATACACTCCTCGTTTGCGTGCATACATCCTTATGAACACACAGAGCCCCCCTGAGACGGCGGCCCACCCCTCCGCTCATTGCCCAGCTGTATCACTTTGCCTCTGGACAATTCCCACTTGCCGCGTCGAGGGGCCTAATGGGCCGCCGCTATTCAGCTGCAGATTAAATATTAATATCGCCACGATGCAGAGATTGCAGCGCATCTCCAGTTACAATGGAGAGACACAGATCAAAGTGCCGAGGCAATTCGTGGCTGCATGAAAGCGGGAGGGAAAACTGCGACAAAAGTCAACCGGGGAAGCCTCAAACATTTTGTGGTGAGACGATTAGAGAACCTTTTTTTTTTTTCAACAAGAATTGGGTGCAAACACATGCACAAAACTGGTTTTAGCACTTGCGTGTGCTCATGAGCTCCAAGGAGGAGCCTCCCTCGCTCCCACCTCCCTCTCTGTGCTACATTTGCCCTTTTATGAGCTCTCCTTTCCCATTTTTCCATCCCTCCTTTCTCTTTCCCTCCAACCCAACCCGACACGGAAATTGAAACTGTATCTGAGCTTATCTGCAGCCTCCCCGTGCATCAACTGCCGAGATGTTTAGACAAATTTTATGCATTATGCAGTGCAAATATCAAAACAGTTCTTGGCAGTGCCAGCAGAAGCCTCATTAAAAATTCCTTAATTAAATCTTCTTGTGAAATGTAATCAGTCCAAGGAAGAGGTTTTGTGCGTGTCCGTGTGTGTGCTTGCGTGTGTGTCAGTGCCAAGGCTTTGATTTGTGCCCTTCATGTTATGGCTTGGAGAAGTAATCATTAACGCCAAAGCCACTTCGGCTTTTCAAATGTTGCTTTTCTTTCTTTCTTTTTTTTTTTTTCGAGGGCATAAACAAACAAGTGATAATCACCTTTGAGCTGCAGCTCGAAATGAATCCACTAAAAATGGTGGCGGGTGGTCAGGCATTGTTCTGAGGCCATGGAAAGACACCTCTCCATCCATGATTTAAAAAAAAATTGTAACTAATTGAGTCATACAATAAATAGCAGACCAAACAAAAAGCCCTCCATTCGTATCTTCTGTGTCAGTCATTGACAGAACACAGAACGATCACAATCGTTTTGATCTTGATCTGTAGCACAACAAACATCTTGGACTTTATTTAGGATGTGTTTATGCGGTCTTATATTACAACACACATCCATGTTAACTTGATGTGTGAATGTAGCGGTATTGTTTTATTGCCAGGGGAATATTTGCCTTCTCATCCAAAGGTGGCACAATGCAATCATATGCTCTCCGCAAACAAACTTGCTGGCAACAATCAGCTAACGCGGAAATTAGCAACGTGTTGTTGCACTTTGATACACTTTGTACATTCTGTGCACTTCTTTTTATTCCTTCTATTAAAATTCTCTCCAACACGCTTTTGTAAACGTGTTGTAAAAAGGCAGTTTGTGCAATCGCCATTCTCTCCCCCGGTCGAACTCCATTCTTGTATACTACTTCTAAGACAAAGCTCGTCGAGAGGGACCGTGATGCCGGCGCTGATGATATAAAGGGCAAACGCTTCACTGCTTGTGTTAGCGTTGCACTGCTTATAATGATACGTTCTATGCGCCCCCCAACTCGTCTAAAACGGCATTGTGACTGAAAATGACATCACGGTGCCTAAGGGCTCGGCTTGCAAATGTCACATGACCAAACCCAGAAAACAGGTGAGCCGTTGACCGTCGTCCCTTTCAGTCGACAGCAAGTGGCAAAAATGGCCGCCCCGCCCGAAATGGATAAAAATGGGTGGCTTTTGCTGCTTCATTCATATTCCACCATATGCGATATCAATCGAAATGCCGTGTTTAGACTAGTGAGGCTGCATAGAACATATTTTGAAAAAAAATGTTTGTCTTCCCCTTTAAAATTCAGGGATGAGAGTGGGTAGTGACGAAAAAAATCTGAAAATCAGCCGGGGGTCTGACGCACTTTAGCTTCGTCACGAGTCTCCATAACATTCGGCATTTTGTTTAATACAGACTACATACACGAGTAATTTCAATACACGACAAAACCATTCAGAATTCGCGGGAAAGGGGTTTAGGAAGGCGAACACAGATGGTTGTGATTCTGCATTTGCCGATATAGTGACCAATCACAACAAGGAAGACATTGGTTTTAGCCCATATCCGAAGTAACGACAAACTAACGCTTCGCGAGAAAAAAACGGTATTCAAAATGGATGCTTGCAAACATTACGAGTCCGGAGTCTGCCAAAGACAAGTAAGTCCGGCAGCCCAGAAATAACACCAGACCCTATCCCCTACCCCTAAAATGTTCTCAATGGATTTGGAACAATATAAAAAAGGTCCATTTTGACTGGAAAAAAGTGGAATTCCGTCAAAACGCGGAAAAATCTCATCCCTGAAAATTGCAGTTGGACTAAAGTGCTTACATAAATCTCAAATGTAACTTCAAGTTGAATGAGCCCAACAATTCGCTTTTGTCCGAGGCCATGTAAAAGGAAAGCTTGTGTTTTGGCACATGCTGGAGACGCACTCTGGAAATGTATTCAAACATTTACAGTCACAGGCACAATCAAGCCATTTCTTTTTCATTACCCTTCATCCCGCTCGCCACATAAATTGAAGCCTTACTTAATCAATTCACTGCACACGGAGCATCTTCATAACAGAATCTAGTTACAGCGCTGAATAAAACACCATCAGTGGAAGGGGGAATGCTTTGTCTCTGTTTGGATGCATTGTTTCATCGGTGCTTAGCATGGCCCGTTGACGGATTTGCATACCTGGCGATGTATTTCTGGTAGAGGTTGACGTCGTCGCTGGCAGGTTTATCTGGTGGCAGGCCATTCCTAACGCCACGGGAAACACAAAAGGGACAGGATTAATGGCAGGTGTGGGCTGCCTGTTGTTAATAAACACAAAGTGACACAATATTTACTTGCGGAAACTTTGGACTATCAATTCACATTTTCTCGTGGCAGAGCAGCATTTTCCTTCGCCGTATGAATCAGAGATGGAAGGAGCACACATTTGATGCATGGCCTTTCAGCCAATGGAAGGAGAAATGCAGGAGCAAAAAGGACATTAATCTTTTATGGGGCTGTTTTGGTGAGTGCTTATATGCAAAACTGGATAATGGGCTGGTGGAAGAAAATTCTATTCTCCTTATGGGACCGTACAGATATCCAGCTGATTCAACTTTGAATGGATTCAACGGATGCTATTTTTTTTTTTTTCTTCACCTGAGATAAGGTTCACTTTACGATCTGAAGGATGACAGTTATAATGCAGCTTTGGTCGCCCCTCAGCAGCGGCATTTAGTTCCATGTGAAGCTCCACATGGGGAATGACCTGAGGTTAATCTGGCCCAGAGGGGAAGACGTCCTGCCAGACCATGTCTCACACTAAACGGGTCAGTTAGCCAAGCTTGTAGCTCAACTGAGCCACAATCCAAAGCAACCAAGGCCAGACCCTGAGGGAGAAGCGCCTGAGGGCTCTTGAACGCTGCCTTTGATAGCTCTCACCTAACCAGGAACAAGATCAAAACTAATCAAACAGCGGTTTGGTACCAGTGGTGCGGACAAGCCTACCTCTCGTTCGCTTGCTTTTAAAGTGCACGACTCAGACGTTGTTGCACGTGCCCCTGTGACTCGCCGCTAGGTTAGCCGCGACTCCAAAGTAATTAAAGGGAGGGTTGTTACACCCGAGCCAAAATGAACAGAGTCAGTCACTTTGCGATGACTGTGCCAAATCAGTCTCCAATGGGCCTCTACGGCGAGTAAACACTTCATGTGCCTTCGCAACTCATCATGTCGCCGTCCTATTGGGCTCCATGCACTATTTCACACTACAGTGCCGTTGGCTTCCGCAGAGGTAATTACCTTTACGTTGGGCAAACTGGCTCGCTATAGCAGTCTATGAGCTCACAGGAGCTTCGAGCTGATCCTTTGAGGGGCAATAAATGTAACCGAGCTTCCAACATTTATGCTACACCATGTGTGTTATTTGAAAACCTTGAAAAAAGAAAATCAATAACAATTAGGGCGGCCCGGTGGTCGACTGGTTAGCGTGTCGGCCGCTTGGTGCAGCGGTGCAGGGTTCGATTTCGGTTCCGGCCTTCCTATGTGGAGTTTGCATGTTCTCCCCGAGCCTGTGTGGGTTTTCTTCGGGTACTCTGGTTTCCTCCCACATTCCAAAAACATGCTTGGCAGGTGAATGAAACATTCTCAAATTGTCTTTATGTATGAATGTGAGCGCAGATGGTTGTTTGTCTATGTGTGCCCTGCGATTGCCTGGCAACCGGTTCAGGGTGTCCCCCGCCTACTACCCGAAGACAGCTGGGATAGGCTCCAGCACGCCCCATGACCCTTATGAGGATAAACGGGTCAGAAAATGGATGGATGGATGGCATAACTCTTAGGTGTGTGTATCGTTCATGTTATTTTACTCCCCACCTAAGGTCACAGGTAAGATTTGCGGAGCATGTGCTTGTGGTTCCGCTGTTGTTCCATGAACTGTATACATGCTGTTACGTTTTGATTTCTTAATATTTGAAATCTGTCTTTGGAAGCTGTTCCAATGCATTTGACTTTCTGGAGTGTCACTTTTTGTGATTGACTGACTCGTCAACTACAGTACATCCACGGAATACAAGTCAGCTGGCATATCTTTCCACCATCTCATGACCTTTTTCAAGGGTAAGCCGTATAGAAAAGGAACAGTAGTAAGACACATTCAAGTCAAGGGGAAACGTGTGAGCAGACTTACTTAATGGAGGACACAGTGCCAGTGGTGATGGAGTCAGTTTTGGAAAAGCTGGACTTCAGGTAGTCAGATGTGGTGAAGCTTATATGGCCCGTCTGGTCCACGGCGAGTCCCGGTGCAATGCTGGCCCCAGCCGCGCCCATGGCGGGTACACCGGGAGCTCCCGGGTTCCCCGGTGCAGTTGCAAGAATGTTGGGCATCAGCGAGCCTTCGGGATTTCCTGGCATCAGCTTTTGCATTGTTCTGATGTCATACTTGGAAGGGCGCCCACCTTTACCAGTCTTAAAGGCGATGGCCCCGCCCATGTCAGGGCTGCCGTCACCCGGTTTAAAAAGGTTCAGGAACTTCACGTTCTCCAGGTCATATTTGGAGGGTCGTTTAAAAGCATTACCATTGGGCTGTATACTCTCGCCCATTTTTAGTTTCTGAATGAAGAAGTCATATTTGGAGGCCCGGGTGGCCATGCTCTGCAAGTGAGAGGAATTCGATGGCTGTGCGGAAGCCAGTGGAGCTCCTCCTTGCTGCTTGTGATCCAAGCCGGTGGGGTAGATCTGAGGTTCGGCCGTCGGGAGGCCGCCAGAGGTCTGGAGCATGGTTGGACTTTTGTCTTGGGAGACTTTTGAATTGAGGTCATCTGGTTTGGGTGGGGAAGCATGCATGGGCCAAGGGAGGGTCTCACCAGCTTTTAACTTTCGGATGTACTCTTCATACTTGGAGAAGCGGGCTCGGCGAGAGGCCTCTTCGCTACTGAGGGACGAGGGGTCTGAGGTAGCGGCTTTGAGCTTCTCAAAGCTGAGCTTCTTGTTCAGCTCATCCCGCATATGATGGTCGTCATAGCCAAACATTCCCAAAAACTCATTCATGGTGTTGGCTGCATAGTCTCGGAGGGCAGACGCTTCTCCTGAAACAGTGGAAAAATCATATTTGATTGGTACAACCTTTTTTTACTTTCATTAAAAGTCCTTCATTTTACATCACTGAAACCATGTTTTGAAAGACCGTGACCCAAGACCTGAAAAGTACATGTCAGATAACATGACAAATATCAGTAAAAACACATGCAAAAATGATTTGCTGAACAAAGATCTACTTGGCAAACAGGGTCACAACATTTCTTTGTGTATTTTGTTCTCATTTGACAAACAGTCAACAGGCAGTCTAAGGGAGCGCCTTTCCAGTTTTGGTTTTGCGTTACGCTGCTGCAAAATTTGCAGGTTGACTTGATCGAGCAAATGTTTAACACAAACCTTGGAGATTTTTTTTTTTTAATCGGCTTATTGAGTTCTGATTTCGTCTCCCGTTAATCAATTCACGACTAACTGAAAACACAACTGCGCAAGTAGAAGGGAAAAGTGATTATGTATCAAATCTCAAATGGCAAGATGGCTCCTAAAAATCCATCCATCCATTTTCTGTTCCGCTTTATCCTCACAAGGGTCGCGCGGGGTGCTGGAGCCTATCCCAGCCGTCTTCGGGAAGTAGGCGGGGGACACCCTGAACCGTTTGCCAGCCAATCGCAGGGCACAGAGAGACGAGCTTCCCTCCGCGCTCACACTCACACCTCGGGAAAATTTGGAGTGTTCAATCAGCCTGTCATGCATGTTTTTGGAATGCAGAATGAAACCGGAGTACCCGCAGAAAACCCACGCAGGCCCGGGGAGAACAGGCAAACTCCACACAGGAAGGCCGGAGCCGAGATCGAACCCACGACCTCTGCACTGTGTGGTCAATGCGCTAACCACTGGCCCACCGGGCCGCCGGGCTTCTAAAAATAACGACAAAAAAATACGTCCAACTTGTGAATCTGTCAACAACCCTACCCCTTTCCCTCAAAAAGTCACTCACATGTTTGGTGTTATCTAAAAAAAGAACAGCGTGTTCATGATCAGCTACAGGAACAACTACATCGTCGATGGCGATTCCTTCAGGCAGCATTCTCCACATCCCTCCATACAATGGTGCGTAACTTTTCGTAAAATGTTTTGCTGCAAAGTTCTCATGACTACCCATTACCCATTGAAAAAAAAAAACTGAGCGCACTTAAGCTGGTCAGAGGTAATACCGCCTACCACTCGAGTAATTAATACACAAATATTTCAGCTCCTGTCTCCAATTTCTCGGTTATTGCTAAATGAGTTGCTGTGCTCTGCTTTTCACGTCTCCTGAGCAGCATGTAAAATAATCCCCAAATTTCCACCCACTGCTTTGGGGTCGCTCTTCTGCGCGGCGGATCAGGCTGAAAGAGTATCCGCTGGATCGAAAAAAGCCCATGAAACATTTAAGAGGAATGGTTGAACGGATCAGCCGGCCGTAGACAATTCCATCAAATGTTTTCACATGAACTGAAACTGGGGAGGCCTCATGTTGCCCTTCGCCTTTTCTATTTATTTATTTTTTGCGGGGATAACAGACTGACAGCATTTGAATGCGCTTCAATCCACATCCGGGTATGAAACCTTCACAATGGGTGGGACGGTCTTGAGAATGTTAAAATGGACTTTGGTGCTGCTGTGAATTTTTTTTTCAGGTCATTTCAGGATGCAATGGATCATAAATCTCTGAAGCACCGGTGTCAAACTCAAGGACCGGGGGCCAGATCGGGCCCACCAGGTCATTTTATGTGGCAGGCGAAAGCAAATCACGTGTGTCAACTTGCTAAAATCTGTACCGAAATGTCAAATTGTCAAATAAGGTTGAGATTTTGCAATAATTTTGTTGCCCTGTTTACACTCATTTGAACAGTAATTATTTTCTTGATTAATTATATCAAACAAACTATTATAATTGACTTGACTGATTTCAAAACGAGGAATCTAGTAATTTGTTGGGTACAAGTAATAATTTTGTGGTTTCACTCTCATCACGGCCCTCCAAGGGAAGATGTAACTCCAAATTGGCCTGCGACTAAAACTAGTTTGACACCCCTGCTCTAAAGTTAGGGTACGCAGTTACACGACACAACATGCCACTCCATTGGACGACTTGATGTATAATGAAAAAGCCCTATCGCCAAATTGCCAATTTGAAAATTAAATATATATGATAATCACTCATGTAAACATTGACCCCGGTATGATTAATCCATATTGACTTTGAGTAACGTCCTCTTTTTACATCAGAGCGAGTATTGTATAAAAGGAAAAAAAAATCGCTATATGTAATTTGCGGTGGTGCAAATATGCTTTTTACAAGTATTTGATTTACTCGCGGTATTATCGACATCCCCTGAAAGAAGAAAAAAGTGCAAGGAGTGTATTTAGAGAGGGAGCCGTGTGACCATGCTATCAGTGCAAGGCAAATGATGTTGGCTTGTAAGGATTAGGGCTGCCACGCACAGAAGATAACCTTTCTTTTCTTTTTCTTTTTTTTTTTTAAACACAGGGCAAATGACTTCTCCTGCTCAAGCTCTGTCAGGCTGCTTCTCACTGACATTTAAGGTTCTATTGATACCTTCTAATGTGAACATCACGGAAATCTTCATTCATTCATTTTCTTTTAGCCGCTGGATGCTCTTTTTTTGGTGTCCCTGGAAAATCTTCCCTCTCTGTAACAAGGCCCGGACCTGCCTTGTCTACATTGGAGAGAATTAGGCCACATTTTACCCTCGCAGATATGATAGCAGACGGGCATTATAGCTCCTTTAGGCAAGCCAAATATGGGCATCAGTGTGGCATAGTCGGTCTGCAAACGGGAAGAGAGGCAGAGGTGTCGCTGATGATAAAGGTGCACGCTAGTGGCTATATATGGACTAATCTGGAGTCGGAACATTAGGAGCCTTGTCACTTTGGAATCATACCTGCACAATGTAAACTGGTGCCTTAAAACAGAAATGGATTTTTTTTTTCCCAACATCATTACATGAAACATTTACTGTCTTAAAATAACAAAATGTCACATATTGAGATTTTAAATTTTAATTGCACTGGTCAGCAGCAAATTTGAATCCGATTTGGCTTTATGCGTCACCAAACTTATTTTTGTTGACGACTTAAAAAAATGTCCAATTTTTTTTTCCAGCACATGAGGCGATTTTTGATGCGATAGGATTTTAAGTTTGACCTTGAAAAGCTTACGCGATACTGATTTTACCATGTGTTGCAAATCATCGCTGTGACCTTTCAAAAATAAAATTCCACCTGTTACTGAACCTAACCCTTAATTTAAAAAATGATACTAAATGTACCGTATTATTATGTGGGTGTTGCCACACCCACAGTTCTCACCCTGCCCACCTCCACCCGTATTCTTGGTCCATATGAGCATTTGTTTTTTTTTTCCTGTCGACTGACACATACGGACGGGGACGGGGTCTCTCATCCGACATCTAAATTATCTTGAAAATTATTCGGGAGTTTTGCACTGATAGGAAATCCCGCGCGATGCCTCAGCGTGAGGAGTTAAATGTTTTGAAGGTCGCAGTTTCTCTCACTGATCTTGCGATGTTTGTTAATTACATTGTCACTGATGTTGTGCGAGATAATTAAGCCACTATGTTTATATGCATAATTATGTGCACTGCGCATCAGCCTTTGAACGGCAGCGGAGAAGGGGGAGAAAGAGAGAGAGGGAGAAGGAAAATAAATGTTTTAATTGTGTGCTGAGCAGAAACACAGAAGTCGAGATGCCCTACTTACAATCAACAAAGAGGAACTCGGAGGGAAACAAAATGAAGTGTCGCAGTCGCGGGACAATCGTGGAGGCAAGTGAAGTTGTGGGTATTCTGTGAGTCATTGAACGTATTTAGTCATAAGATGACAGACAATGAGAAGAACATCAAAAAGAAAGGCATAGATTTTTTTTTTTTCCGCCTGATAAGTTCCTACCCTGGATTGCTGCTTTTTTTTGAGGGGGGGGGGGGGGGAAAAAATAATGGGTGTTTTTTTTCTTTTTTTTTTTTAAACACAGGGCAAATGACTTTTCCTGCTCAAGCTCTGTCAGGCTGCTTCTCACTGACATTTAAGGTTCTATTGATACCTTCTAATGTGAACATCACGGAAATCTTCATTCATTCATTTTCTTTTAGCCGCTGGATGCTCTTTTTTTGGTGTCCCTGGAAAATCTTCCCTCTCTGTAACAAGGCCCGGACCTGCCTTGTCTACATTGGAGAGAATTAGGCCACATTTTACCCTCGCAGATATGATAGCAGACGGGCATTATAGCTCCTTTAGGCAAGCCAAATATGGGCATCAGTGTGGCATAGTCGGTCTGCAAACGGGAAGAGAGGCAGAGGTGTCGCTGATGATAAAGGTGCACGCTAGTGGCTATATATGGACTAATCTGGAGTCGGAACATTAGGAGCCTTGTCACTTTGGAATCATACCTGCACAATGTAAACTGGTGCCTTAAAACAGAAATGGATTTTTTTTTTCCCAACATCATTACATGAAACATTTACTGTCTTAAAATAACAAAATGTCACATATTGAGATTTTAAATTTTAATTGCACTGGTCAGCAGCAAATTTGAATCCGATTTGGCTTTATGCGTCACCAAACTTATTTTTGTTGACGACTTAAAAAAATGTCCAATTTTTTTTTCCAGCACATGAGGCGATTTTTGATGCGATAGGATTTTAAGTTTGACCTTGAAAAGCTTACGCGATACTGATTTTACCATGTGTTGCAAATCATCGCTGTGACCTTTCAAAAATAAAATTCCACCTGTTACTGAACCTAACCCTTAATTTAAAAAATGATACTAAATGTACCGTATTATTATGTGGGTGTTGCCACACCCACAGTTCTCACCCTGCCCACCTCCACCCGTATTCTTGGTCCATATGAGCATTTTTTTTTTTTTTTTCCTGTCGACTGACACATACGGACGGGGACGGGGTCTCTCATCCGACATCTAAATTATCTTGAAAATTATTCGGGAGTTTTGCACTGATAGGAAATCCCGCGCGATGCCTCAGCGTGAGGAGTTAAATGTTTTGAAGGTCGCAGTTTCTCTCACTGATCTTGCGATGTTTGTTAATTACATTGTCACTGATGTTGTGCGAGATAATTAAGCCACTATGTTTATATGCATAATTATGTGCACTGCGCATCAGCCTTTGAACGGCAGCGTAGAAGGGGGAGAAAGAGAGAGAGGGAGAAGGAAAATAAATGTTTTAATTGTGTGCTGAGCAGAAACACAGAAGTCGAGATGCCCTACTTACAATCAACAAAGAGGAACTCGGAGGGAAACAAAATGAAGTGTCGCAGTCGCGGGACAATCGTGGAGGCAAGTGAAGTTGTGGGTATTCTGTGAGTCATTGAACGTATTTAGTCATAAGATGACAGACAATGAGAAGAACATCAAAAAGAAAGGCATAGATTTTTTTTTTTTCCGCCTGATAAGTTCCTACCCTGGATTGCTGCTTTTTTTTGAGGGGGGGGGGGGTGAATAAATACTGCGTGTCTAAAAAATTTGGCCTTTTATCTTTCATTTAGTTTTCGACTCTGCAATATGATTTTTTACTGTGCCTTCTTGCTTTTTTAATGAGTGCTCTCACTATCAAATATTTTTGGAATAAATTATTCTATCATGTAATTATTCCATTGATTAATGAAATAAGTTTTTAATGGCAATTTTAGTTTGCAATAAAGTGTATTACAAAATTATTTCCCCCCCTAATGACTGTTTAGGAAACCAATTATTGTTGTTGCTATCAAATATTTTTGGAATCAATTATTCTATCATGTAATTATTCCATTGATTGATGAAATAAGTTTTTAATGGCACTTTTAGTTTGCATTAAAGTGTATTACAATATTATTTCCCCCCTAATGACTGTTTAGGAAACCAATTATTGTTGTTTATTTGGTATTGTGAAGTGATTAAAAAAATAAAGCAACAATTAAGCAAACAGACAAGAGGGATTGAAATTGTATTCACCAAATTTCTGAAACTGATTTAGGCGCTGGTTCACTCAATGTTGTCCAAAGTAAAAGCGGATGTTTGCAAATGTCTTATTTTGATCAAACATCAAATTTACTCAGTCTTTCATGAAAGACGACAGAAATCGGAGAATAGTTATTGTAAAGGAGCCAAATTCAGAGGATGTGGAAAACTTCACGTCAAATAATGGCTCTAAATGGTTTTTCGATGAATAAAATTGTTGTCGAGTAACTTAACAATCGATTAGTTGTTGATTCGTCGATTCATTTTGACACGTCTAGAATCCCGCTCAAACTCGGTGTTCAACCTTAAATTTGAACAAAATTATGTCCAAAACACGACCCGGTATCAGGTTTCTTGTCTAGATTACATTTACTGATTACTAAACGTACTACCGGTATATGGAAAAAGTCTTTTTAGCCAGGGAACAGATCGATTACAGCATTTCTCCCGTGTATCTTTTTTTGGGGAGTAATTTAATGGGAGGACCAAGGATGCTCTGTTTTTATGATTATTCACGATCCCTTGGTAGATAATAATGCTTGCGGAGCACCGAGAAGCTGATGGTGCAGCAGTGGCTAACTTCAGTGAGCTAAGGGACAATCAAAGACTCAATATGTAATCCGGAGTGTAATATGAAGCTTAGCCCGGCCCCGCCATGTGCTCTTGCCTTCGCACAGCTGCTACAACTGCCGGGCTTTGTAAGCCAACCCCATTTATGAAGTTCTTCATGCAGTTTAGCACACACTGACAAGTTCCTATGTCCGCCCTCCGGCACGCCAGTCGAATCCGTCTTTAGCGTAATAATGTCAGCGACTATTCATAATGCAACTCTAGAGTGTCTCTCTCTCCAATAATGGGCACACTTAAGCTTATGTGCATGTGGCAATGTCGCTCTCTCTTTCTCGCACGCGCACACGCGCGGCAGTTTGAGCCTTTGCCCCTTAATACTCTAAAGTGGAGTGTTTGAAAGGGCACGGTGAGGGTGCTGAGCAATGTGACTGGAGGACGCTCAGTTCAAATGTACCTGGAGAGGAGAAAGGTGCTTGGCGGCTGGGGGCCTCGCTCGGCGGCATGTAGGCGTCGGGCTTGGAAAGCCCGTCTTCAGCATCTTTGTCGTCGTGGTAACTGCCATCCTGAGAGCCCAGCAAGGGCTCCGCCTCCTCGCCGTTGTTGTCCTCCTCGTCGCTGCAGCCTTTGGGCTGGACCATGTAGACACCTTCGGGAGGGGCGTCTTCATCGTCGGCGTCTTGGAGCTCGTGCTCCTGCTCGTCACCGCCCTCGTGCGCCGGCGGCTCGTCGCCGTACTCGCCATTCACCCACTTTTCGATAGCCTCGCGTCTCTTCTGGTCCTCCTCCAGGCTCTGACTCAAGCTCAGGCTCTCGCGGAAGTTGGTCTCGCTATCATCGTAGTGGGAACTGCCGCGCTCGCTGTTTTCAGCTACGCTCTGCTCGCCCTCTGCATTTTGCGAGCTACTGTCAAACACCACCTGCCGGCTCAGCTTGGCACAGATAGCGTTGAGTTTTAGGCCACCTTTCCTTTTGGCGGCCATCTTGGGTTTTCCTGAGGTCGTTTCAGTGCATAAACTCCTTTCAGCTGTCGGACGAGAAGGAAAACAGAAAAAATAGCCGGTTAAGTGCCACGGGCAAACTGCGGGCTTCCTTGCAAACCTCACGGTCATAAACAACGTCGGATTTCAAATATCACAACGGAAAAACAACGGACATTGAATGGTAACCGCCGCTATTAATAACCCCGCAAAGCACTTAAAAGAGCACAAGAGTGAGGACACCGAGATACTGTACATATCTTTCCAAGTGGCACCTCCACTGGCAGCTCAGGGTGGTGGAAAAAAAACAAGGAGAAAAGAGCAGTGGCAGCTGAAACCACAGACAGACATGTATCACACCCCCAACACACCACATACCCCCCCCCCATGCTACTACAGAACAAGCGAGCGACATAATCCTTCACATGACAGCGCGATAGACACGCTGAAATGTTATCTTCACTCGCACCTCAAGAGGCTATAGTCCGGTCTTGCCTCTGAGAGAGACGAGAGCGGCATACGGTTTTCAAACTCTTTGGACGTGGAGTAAACCAAAAGACAACAAAATGTTTGAGTACTTATTCGGATTTTTTTTAAAAAAATCAATAAAAATAATTGAAGGCAAAGCATTCCAGCTCAGTGATGTGGCCAAAATGTTCAGTTAAAGTTCATTTTGAATGATTCAATGAGTGTCTTTTGTAGTCCGGTCTTGCCTCTGAGAGAGACGGGAGCGGCACACAGTTTTCAAAATCTTTGGAAGTGGAGTAAACCAAAAGACAACAAAATGTTCAAGTACTTATTCGGATTATTTTTAAAAAAATCAATAAAAATAAATGAAAGCAAAGCATTCCAGCTCAGTGGCGTGGCCAAAATGTTCAGTTAAAGTTCATTTTGAATGATTCAATGAGTGTCTTTCAACAAGAAATTACACAAAAATGTGACAAAACAAGGTAAGAAATTGAGTTAGCGACACTATGATTTAATTTAAAATCTATTCTGGCTCTGTATTGAGAAAGGCTTTGAATCAGGGGTGTCACACTCATTTTTTGTCGCGGGCCACATTGTAGTTACGGTTTCCCTTGGAGGGCCGTTATGAATTATGGGAAACCGTATACATGTTTAATTACCTCCACATATTAGCGTAGAACAAATTGATGGATAGCTAGTTTGAAAATCAGAAGTCAAGAATAATGACTGTTATTGTGGATTACGTATGACAATTTGAAATTTTGGTTCAGACTTTGTGGGCCACAAAAATGATGTTGCGGGCCAGATCTGGCCCGCGGGCCTTGACTTTGACACAAGTGCTCTGAATGCTTTAATGTCAGTGAAAAAGGAAAAAAAAAAAAAAAAACGAAACTTTTTGTTCCCACCACCTCAAACTTGATTGTGTCATTTCAAGCTGAAAGCCATGAAACAAACAGAAAGTCCCTTTGACTCAAAATCTGACAAAAGATATGAATCATTCCAGCCTCAACTGTACAAATAAACAAATGCTTACGAAGATAAGAAATTGGGTGCGAGCCGATGATCAAAAACATGACTCCGAGGGTGATTTGATGTCTGACGATCACACGTCATGCAAAAGCATGCAGCAAGTTAGACGCGTTTGACGTGCGACATGGACGTACTGTATGGGCCGGGTTGCCCCCCCCCCCCCCCATGGCCCCTCTGAACAATAGAGTGCGATAGAGTGCGCTTTGGGGCGGGAATGGGTGGCATTATTTTAACCCAAGTGGGGCTATCTTTATAACATGTCCTCTGATGAGGCAGGAACAGCTGCCTGTGGCATTCCACATCCCGAGCTGCCTTTTTAGGGCTGAAAGTGCACTCTGTTACCTTTCACTTTATTTCCATTGCCACCCAAAGTTCACCTTGCGATGGCATTTTGCAGACTCTGACTCAAGGCCAGATTTTTTTTTTCTTTTTAATCGAGGTTGTAAATAACGAAGGAGCAATGCGCCATTTGCGATATTTTTAAAAGTTGTGATCTGTTTTTTTCATTTCACGTAAAGCTCCGGCAGCCGGCTGAAGGCGGCTATTTATTCGCGCGGTGTTGACTCTGCATCTCGCCTGACAATAATATGCGCACAATTTCACCGGAGAGGAATGCATGATATCATAGGTTGCAAAGTTCTATCTTTAAGACTCAATTGACTTTCTCTAACAAGTGCGAGCCACTTCATTTTCCCTCGGCCATAAAACGCAACACAATCACGCGTGAGCCGTTGCCGGCATTATGTAAATCACGCCGGCGCAACATAAAATCCTGTTTTCATTTTCTTTTGCAAAGAATCATTAGAGGATATACCATTGGAGGGAGTGTACAAATCACCCCGTCAGCGGACAATGCAAGCGGCGCTCGCCACACATGCTTTCTCGGTTACTGTATTTACATTGCACACTTCCTCAGCGAAACAATGACTTCAGGAATGATGTCGTTTTGAGAGCTGGTGGGGGGGGAGTGCGGCCAGCTTTGCGAAAATTGGTCACACTGAGAAAAGTGTGAGACAATTGCAAGCGGGGCTGAAAGGGTAACCTTTTAGAGGACGGCAATTTTTTTTTTTTTTTTTGAAGGGGGGGAGGGGGCTGCTGGTGGTTGGAGAAACAAAATCACCTGGAAAAACTATTAGGAAGTGGAAGACATAAATTTCCAACTTTTTTTTTTTTTTTACACCCCAAGGAAGATTGAGGTCATTTGGGTGTTGCAGTGGAAGTCCCCCCCCCCCAACCTCCCTCCCCTTTCTTTTTACCGTGTTCATTATTTCATGCTCTAACTACCTTATTCCTTTGCATTGCCATCTCTGGATCCTTGTAGAAAATGACCCCTGCACAGTTGTTTCTCTCCATGAGAGACTATTTATGTAGGATTTGCTTTTAACAACAAAGAACGTGAGCAGAACTTACTTAAAAGCCCCCCAAGGAGGACGGCGTTAAGGTTGGATGCTTTATGGAAGCTGTCTCCACCATTATTTACGCTGAGGTTTCTGTCCGCAGCAGTTTTCTTTTTTTTTTTGCCCTTTGCTTACATTACAGATTGCTATGGTAACACTAAAGCTGTTTACCTCGAGTCGTTTGTGTGCATGATAGCGTACAATGATATCAAATCTAAGGGGACTGACATGAAAGCACGACTTTTCCCTCTGGGAGCGACTCCTCCACCTCCCGATGAGTCCACTAAGCGTTCTGCCTTATTAATGAATATCAAAAAGAAAAACAAGGCTGTCATGCGCATTGGACGTATTTACACTTTTGTTTTCCTCGGGTGTGCTAATTGTCAGTGAGCTGACAGCTCAGTCAGGATTGTGAGTTTGGAGAGAGAAAAAAAAAAAGGTTTGAAGTCAAACACAACATCTGATCCTAATTTTTCCAGTTGCTTATGTTCAGTGTGACACTATTTTTACTGGAAACAGCGCAGAGCAAAGAACAAGCACCGTTTCTTGTCTGTATAAGGCCAAAACCTGAGAAAAAAAGGCAGGAAACATGCTTCGAATGGGCTTGGTTCCTATTCAAGTTGAGTCAGAAAGTTCTTTTCGGGCCCTGCTTCTTTTCAGAGTCACTCGACATTCTGCGGAGCCGACAAATGACTCTCCAAAGGTCCTGTTTTTTTTTTTTTTGGTTTTCTTTTTCATGTAGAGGCTCTGTTTGTGTGCCAGAATGATATCACGCCCAATCAAGTGGCGTTTCAAATCCTAATAACGCTGTTGGAAGTGCATTATCTGTGTGAACGCGCACAGACTGTAATCAAGGCGGCTTTCGGAGTCAAGGATGGGAGAATTTTAATGATGGCGGCGACGAGTCGGGTCACGGCTTTACCTCTGTCTGGGTTCATCCGGGTCCAATTATTATTATTTTTTTTTGAATGTGCAACAAAGATGGTGCTATGGTGGGCAAACAAATCCAAAGGAATTAAATAAAAACACGAAATGCGTCATCTCTCGGAAGGCCTTTTGTGACAGTTTCCGTCACTTTTTTTTTCACATCCCGCTACTAATTATAAATTTTCCTCATATGACATGTCTTCGATTGTCAACAATTACATCTGGATTTTCTTGTGCGGGGCTGCTATCTAAACCCCTGTGGAGACAGTAAATCCATAGTTGAGTTTATTTGTGCGGCCGATGAGTTTTATCGTCTCAATAAGAGTGGTAGATGTTGAGGTCGATCCACTTTCGTGTCATGAACACACCGAACGCGTTCGCCCCATAAACCGTTACGGTATGTCTTGGTTGTCGATTCCCGCTGAGTTCCAATATGAATGATGCAGAGGCAAATAACCGAGCAAGATCTGGACTTAATTAATACAAACAGCGTCTGTGAGATGAAGATTATTTTACATGATGCAACCGAGATTTGCTTTAGCTTAGAACTTTATGAACCTTTGGTGGTTGAATCAATCAGCGTGTACCAGTTGAACCTGGGCTGTGTGTTTGAGATTATGTGCGTGTGTGTGTGTGTGTCAGACAGAGCGTTTGAAATTGTTCTCCTCCGCGAGGAAGTCAAGCGGAAAGCCACCGATGGACGTGCGCCACGATGCCCGGACCCCAGCATCTGGCCCCTTTTCTCATTTTTATTGCACAAGAATAACAATAAGCGGGGTCGTCAACCCCAGTGTGAGATTTTGCTACACTTTTCGAGGAGTCTGCGAAGCTGATGCCGGGAAATTTCCATTTTTCCGCATCCATATTTAATTGAGTTTTGTCCCAGTGGTGCGGAAATGATTTGTTTTTTGCTCTCTGTTCACTTGACTCCTCTTCGGAGTCGCTAACCCTGATTAAGACGTTCCCGTTAATTTCCCAGCGCACACCTTTTTTTTTTGTGCATTAATGGTTCTGATCGTCTAATTAAAACTTCTCAGCTCGGCTGCTGATCACCGCTCGTTGTGCCTCTGACCTGAAGTTTTAATTGCCGCATCAGAAGCGATAATAATTTTGAGGTTCTGATGATTAAAAACAATGCCATTGCCAACTAGATGATAGATGAAGATTAGGGGGTGGGCACATCGGAGGGGAAGTTTATGTGGAGTGGGGATTGAGAGACAAGGCTG